ATATTTTTTTTTTTGTTGGGGGGGGGGGTATGAAAGGAGAAAGACACAAAAAAATCATCCAACAGCATTGCACATGATGGGAGGATGAAATCAACACCAGTGAGAGGTAGGCAGGTATATACATGAAAGACAACAATGCAGACACATTTAGAAAACACGAGCATAATTCATACATGACTCTAAACTTTATCAACTGCCAATAGAAATCTCTAAATAAGATAGTGGGGCATCATTATAGTAACTAAGCTTCTTTTTTTTTTTTACATCCAGTAGAAGTTTTGAACTGTTTTTTAACCAGGTGCAATCATATAGTTCAATGATAGAGTAAAACTTCTTACAAATCTAAATTAAATCCTAAAGAACCTATGCCAATTTACTTGTGTCAGAAGTATTCAATATTCTGAGTGCATGTTGGCATTAGAATGGTGATATTGCTACTATCAGTTACTCCTACTGATTTGAATTTGGTGTATGTGAAGCAGAATCAATAAACACTCCATATGGGAATATACATCAAAATCATCCATGGAATTAGCTGTCTCATGAATTCAATAATCTCATAATTACATGGTTAGATGGGCAAGTTTTCTTTTGGACTATCCGATCTAAATTTTCTGCTTGGTATCTAGTTGTGTATGTCAGACAGCAGTGTTTAGTTAGCAGAGGATGCATGTATCTGAACTCATTTTTGTTTTACATTTTTACTCACTTGTTAACAACAAAAATGATACAGAAAAAACAGTCGTTGTTAGCTCTATTGTCACTGCTAAGTGCTAACTAAGCAAATGGTACGTGCAAGAGATACTAATTAGGTATACCTGCCAGATTTTGAGCAGCAAATTTAAGGCAAACAGCTTTCAACTCCGCAGCATGGCAATCATCAGCCAAGGTTAAAATGTTGGCTACAGAATTCACAGAAATGTCCTTACAAAGACGAGATTCACACATCAATCTAAGCCTACCCAAGCCATACTTGTCTGCTGCAGCTAACAATTTTCCTGTCAATGTCTCGGAAACTGGAAAATCGTTAGTTGTGGTTGATGAACCCATTTCCACCTCTTCTGTAAGAGTATCCCTGTAGATAAAGTGCAGCATGGCCTGTAAAAGTAAGAGGAAGAATCAGGATATCCATCCTCCCTAATTGTTCTACACTTCTTAACTCCTATAAGATCTTTTTACTATTAAGAAAAAAATCTGAGAAAAACAAGCACAAAAATACACAATAACAGAATAAATCCTCACCAAGCTTAATGCTAACAGGGAAGGAAAATAGAAAAGAAATAGTTTTTACCTTAAAAACCTTTGGTTCTAAATCTGTAACAATAATCTCGTTCTTTTCCTCAACTAAACCACCAAAAAATTTAGATCGAAATTCTGGGGATCTAGCAGCCAACACCAACTTATGAGCAGGGAACTTCTCCCCAGCTACATCAAAAGTAACATCCGAACCTTCCATATTGTCCAATAGTGTGCCAAATTGTGATCCAATGTCAGTTTCCGGGATGTTAATAGAGTTACGTTGTGGACAATCAATTGCTGAAACCACAACTCCAACTGTACAGTTTATTTTCAAACAATCATTCTTGAGGAAATCAGAGCTTTCAAGTATAGACCGTCTGAAAAACCGCTTGTACCCCCTACAAAAGTGATTCATCCAAACAAAATATTTTAAGAATGATAGAAATTGAAATCAAAGTAATTCAAATACCAAGAATTTAAAATTCCTTGAATTTGTAAAATTTATCATCCAAACACACTATTATAGTGATAACAGATAATAGATAAAAATAGTGGGGCTCTACATACTACGAGCACATTAAACTCAAAGTTTCAATATTTGTGAAGGGATTATTTTGCATTTTGTAAGGAAGAATTGTGTAGCTTAGTTGAGAAGGGATAATCCTTGTGAAGGAGAACTGTCCTTGTTTCACATATTCATGAATTCAGATATATACACTTTTCTTCTAATCCTTTTCCCAATTTCTGTTTTCATTGATCTGTTATTAGAACTTGTGATACATGAACAGTTTTATATTCTAACATTCATCCTCATACAAGAGTCATTTGGGGTTGAAGCGTTGACAAACTCACATACCTACCTTACATCAAGCTCAAACTATGGGAGCAACAAGGATCAAACTCTTGATTACTTGATCATACAGGTTTTGATACCGTGCCAAGGACCAACTTCACCGAAAGCTTAAGTTGATAGGTAAAGGCTCATAAAGGGTTTTATATAAAACAGAAGTGTTCGAATGGTTCAGGAATTAACTAGATTAGATGACAGGATGTGAATAGTTATGATGGTTCATAACATACTTTTCAAGGAAAATACTGATAGGTACCAGACCAGAGAAATGACAAAGAAGAGAAATGAAGTTCACCATGTTGAAGCAAATATCAGACCTGCATCAAGGTGATAACAGTGTCTGAATATAAAAAATAGGAAAACCAGAGAACAATAAAACAAACAAGAAAGAAAACGGCCAAGGCAATTAGAGGTGCTTAGTCTCTCTGAAGTTCCAGCCAAATTGAAATTTGCTTCCCCCTGTCCTACAAACGGGTCATATACCTACAACAGAATTCTCTCACACTGCCCATACCTTGCCAACTTGCAGTTGGTTACTGAATTTTTTCTCTCTCTTGGATACGACTCTCTAAACACCTTTGTTTTCACCTTACGTAGATTTCAGTTATCCTAGGAGTCCTATCAAATACATCCTCAGTAACGCTATTTCCTGATTACTACCATGCTAAAATTATGATAAAGTTATGTATTGTAATACCAGAAAAGTGCAAAGGAAGGAATGCAAAGATAGTTTGAATAAACACCAGTTTGTTTATACATGGGTTATTTGTATGTTTGACTTACTACAAAAGCAGAACGGATAAGCTCCTCAACATAATCAACAGTTGCGCCTTTCACAAAATCGTATGAAATATTGTCAACAACCAGTTTAATTCCATCCCTCTCAAAAACCCTGGCAACATGTTAAGAAAAGTAAGTTATAATTCGCAAAAGAGAATACCTTGGGATGTTCAAGCCCAGTACACAAGTGGCAAGCACATCATATGACCAGTAAGAGGTAATACCTGTCATCTGAGTTGATCCTGTCATCCAAATTAAAAGCATACTGAAATCCAGAACACCCACCAGTTTCTACACTTAAACGAAGCATTCTTTGGTCCGCTGATGATTCAACGGCTTCAAGTTCCTTCATTTTCTGTTCCATATTCAATAAGTTGGTATTGATTATATGAAGCATAATCACAAAAATAAAACTTTTTTTTTTTTTTTGTGGGGGTGTTCATGGCCATTGAAGGGGAAAACACCTTCATAGTTGAACCCTCAATTTGTCACTTCTCAAAATTAAACACACAACGCAAGGTGCACCAACAACATAGTAACACTAGACTATGTCACGTGTCTTAGAGTGTATTACACGTCAAAATTCCTTTTACGATCACAAAATTAATATTTAAGATAGAAAAGGAAAATTACAAGAGGGAAGTTGCGAAGCATCTGAAACCAAAACAATCACAAAACACATCAACGTACTCGAACGCAGTTGTCGGTCATGTGAACGGGCTCCACGTCAGCAGCAGCAGAAGAAGAAGAAGTGGCATGGTGAAGAACCGAAGAAGAACAATTTCTGCTAAGCCTCAATCGCGCTGCCAATGGCGGAACCAAGCGTCGAACCAGTGACCTCTGCATCTCTCTCTCTCTCTCTCTAAATCACAATTCAGGTTTTCCTTCTCTTATTTTTTTTCTTACAGACTCACGGTCCATATTCTGCCACGTCATCCAATCAATATCAACGGCTCAGAATTTACCAACGCAAACAATAAAATTAAGGAGTCACCGAGAAAAGACTGGTCACAGTGAAACACAGTAACTGTTTCGCAGGGTCTGTACGAACATTAGAATCAAAGCGTAAGAAGGTGAAAATCCAAGAACCTCTCTTCAATCGGAGTTGCTTTCAGTTTATTTTCTATATCTCATTTTCTGATAATCACAGGAGAAGATGCACAAGAGTGAGAAAGAAGAGTACGGAGTCCGGAAATTGGAGATCTCAGACAAGGGGAAGGGTTTCATCGACTTACTGCACCAACTCAGCGTCTGCGATTCCGTCTCCGACAAGGAATTCGAGGATCGATTTCGCGACCTCGCTGCTCTCGGAGATGACCACGTCATCGGCGTCATCGAGGATGAGGCTTCGGGAAGGATCGTTGCGACGGGGAGCGTGTTCATCGAGAAGAAGTTTTTGAGGAATTGCGGGAAAGTAGGGCACATTGAGGACGTTGTAGTGGATTCGAGCGTTCGGGGGAAGCAATTGGGGAAGAGAATCGTGAACTTCCTCACGGAACATGCTCGTTCGGTGGGATGCTATAAGGTGATTCTCGATTGCAGCGTCGAGAACAAAGCGTTCTACGAGAAATGTGGCTTTCAGGAAAAATCGGTTCAGATGGCGATGTATTTTGCTTGATCAACAGTTTTTTCCCAATTTTCGCCTGCGAATTTATTTATCATCTCGTTCCATACTTTGTTAAGTTGTTGCGAGTACATTATTCGTTTTGCTTCACTTTTCTGTGTTTAGACTTTTGACTAGCTTCATTTTTTTTAACCGCTTGTTAAAGATGGTACAATGAAATCACGTTTATGCTCAAAGTCCATCAACATATCCCGCTGATACATATAGCGATTAAAAACAAATAATGCAAAACGAGTTATGTATGCGATTAAGTATCCAAAAAGATCAATGTTTGACGATACTAGGTTTTCCATGTTTACGAAGTTCTAGAAATATTGAGCTTTAATAGAGACTAAATCCGTTGTCTCCACAGTGATCAGGAAGAGCATGTTAAATTCTAAAATCATGCACACTACGTGAACAAGTCTTTAAAAACAATATGAAATCACACGTCTAAAACATTCTGTGTGTATTTGTCATTCCTGATCGATTTGTCAACGGCTACAACACATTGCCCATCCACTTCTAGCTGAGAGTACCGAGAAGACTTTTCAATCGCCATTAATCACATTCTCAATCATCATAACTTGCATTTTCGTCTTCGTTCCTTAAATACAAAAAAATTACAGCTCGAAGCACAGGCTAACTTAATAGCTTTTTAAATCTTTTTGCCTAAGACCCTATGAAACATATGGTAAGCATGAAGCCACGAGATTGAACAGGCTTTTCAACAAAATTTTGGTACTGCTGCCTAGCAAGGTTTGACTTTTTAACTAACATTTCTTTGTGAAACACTTGGTGGAGCATAGCTCAAATCATATCACTTTTAGTCTTTATCAAGGAAATGTAGCACACCTCCAATGGCATCTGTCCTGGTCTTAATTAAGGGACAGTAACAGAGCACCAATTACATCTTTCTTGATCAATATTAAGGGGTTACAGTTATGAGACAATGATTTTCATTGTTTCAATCCTCCACATCCCCATTTCCAAGTCCCTTATCAGTTAAGTTCTTAATCACTCCACAATCACCTTCCCCCATCAACTGGCTAGACTGAAAACCAAGTTAAATCTTAAATGTTTGTATCATCAGCGATCAAAACTCTTCACTTTCCGGTTCGTAGAGCGTCGGCAATTAGTTAATCCACTCATCAATTCATTATACGAAGCAAGATCAGGAAGAAACCCCCTATCCAACATTTCATTCACTAGCAACTCCCCTTCCTCTCTACCTCCCTCTCCCATATACCCCATGACCAAAATTCTATACGTCATGCAATCCGGTTCAAAACCCTTGCTCAAAGCAAACAACCTCAATCTATTCGCCTCATCCGTCCTCCCCATATCACAAATATCACGAAGAACAAAATTGAAAGTCACAACATCCAGCACCATACCCTCCTCAAGCATTCTTTCCACAAACCTCCGCACCTCCTCCGTCTTCCCCAACCCCCTCAACCCATCAACCATGGCAATGCAAGCAACCAAACTCGGAACACTCCCTGCATTCCACAACACATAAACAAGCTCCAACGCTCTCATAACATTCCCTTCTCCACACAAAACCTCCACCAAAGCAAAACAATCAAACCCTCCAGGCAAAACCCTCTTCTCAGAAAACTCAAGCAACAACACACAAGCCTGCAAAACCCTCCCTTCCTTACAAAGCCCCTGAACCAAAATCTCGCAAGTAACATTGGAAAACCCACACCCTAATTCAACCATCTCGCGAGCCATCCCAATGGCATCATCAACGTTCCCCTCTCTAAACATTCCCCTAATCAACGTATTAAAAGTAACCACGTTGGGGTAACACCCTAGTTTCCCCATCTCGTTGAAAATCTCCAACGCCGAAGCGAACTGCGAGTTCCGACAGTAACCGCTAATCAAAATGTTGAAGGTAAACACATCGGGCTTAACCCTATACTTATCCACCATGTCGCGGTAAAAGTGGAGGGCGCAATCGAGTTTAGCGTTTTTGACGAAGGCGTGGAGGAGAATGTTGCAAACGGCGACGTTTGGTTTGCCGTCGATTAATTTGCGCATGGTGTGGAATGCGGAAACGGCGTCGTGGAGTTTGGAGGATCTGGCGAAGGCGTGGATGGCGGTGCGGAAGATGGGTTGGGTTTGGGGGCAGGAGAAGATGGAGGGGGAGCAGGGGCAGGGGTTGGCGGCGATTAGGGTTAGGAGGGTGCGGAGCTCTGGGTGGCGGTGGGTGGCGGCGAGGGTGTGGGCCATCCAGTGGAAGGTGGAGTGGGTGTGGCGGAAGGAGTCAAGGGTGGTGGCCCAAGTAAAGAGGTGGAAGTCGAAGCGGGAGAAGGAGGGGTGGTGGTGGAGCTTGGATTTCAGAAAGTGGAGGAGGGTGTCTGGGCTTAGAGGTGGGGCCCAGTGGGCCTTAAGGAAGTCCAGGAAGCGGGCGTAGTGAGTGGGGGAGACGGATGTGTCTTGGGGTGGTGAGGGGAGAGGGAGGTTGGGGATCCAAGGAGGAGAACCCTTCACTTTCAGCAACTTCTTCATCGCCATTTTCTCTCTTATGTTTAGCCCTTCAGGTTAGTTTTTTCTAGTGTGCATAACTTATAACCAACAACATGAACCAAAGGTGTTAAGTAAACAAAAATTTATTTTAATTACTTCTCAAAATTAAATCATGAAAATGTCAATTACTTCTCCAAACATTCCCACATTTGTTCTTTAATTATACAAGTGCTTATGTGAGAGGATTAATTAATTAGATGCTTGGGTACTAACGATTTGTTGATCCAATTCATACTATGCTGAATCATTGAATTTCAATATTTTTAATTTAAATCTTAAGTTTAATTAAAAATATACTAAAACGATAATTTTTGATTATGTTAATAAAAATAATACCATGATTAAAAAAAATGATGCTTAGGTGATACACAATTATGATTAAATATTTAATATTTTAATAATTAAATATTTGAATATTCTCTTTATTTATTTACTAATATATAAAAGATATTTTGTGTCTTTGTAAATTATTTTTAAAAAATATAAATAATAAAAATATATAATAGTAAACAGTTATTTAAAATATAGGATTATAGAATAAAATTTAAAACAAAATAATATATTTGTAATTTGTAAAAGAATAATTATAAAAATAAAATAAATTTAAATGCATACCAAAAAGTTGAATTCAATTTGCTATATTACAATTATACTATAGACAGTGCTGATTAAGTAATCAAACTGTTTTCACAGTAATAAAAAAGTCATTAAACTCATAATTTAGATAATTATCAATTTTCATTTTCATCATAGATAAGCACGTAGTTGCGTTTCGGGGCAACGTATCTGAAAGCGGTGCACATATATAAATAGCTGTGCCGGGAAAAATCATAACGACAAGTGGACCAAAATCGCTAGAGCAACAGAAATTCAAAAGGCAGAAGAAGGTCGTGAATCATTTCAGATTCAATTACCAAAACCAAACATGTTTCCGCTTTCCAACCCTTCTCTTTCTCTGCAATCTAGCATCGTCGCACCGATTCCAGCAAAACCTACCAAACACTCTTCCACTCTCTCCGTCACCAACTCCGCGTCTTCCGGCGAGAGAATCACCGCAGCTCGCCGGAGAACCATCTCGCCCTTCGAAGCCAGAATCTCACTCGTCTTCGCCCTCGCTTCTCAAGCCAACTCTCTCTCCCAGCGACGTAAATGTTCTCTTCCACCCTACTCTTCTCATTTTCTCTCCTTATTTTCTCTCTGTAATGTTCCTAATTAATTTTCGTGCTGCTGCAGTTCTAGCGGACGTGGCTGGCGAGACTGCGAAATACGTGTTTCCGAAGAGATTTGAAAGCCGCACTCTCGAGGAGGCGTTGATGAGTGGTAGATAGTTAAATTTAGATTTCTAATGTGCAAATTGCTATCGAGTATTGATTTGTTCCTTTTTCTTGCGAAATTAATTTTTTCGGTGTTGGAGATTTGTTGCAGTTCCGGACCTTGAGACTGTCCAGTTCAAAGTTCTGAGTAGAAGGGACCAGTATGAGATTAGGGAAGTTCAGGTGTGTGTGTGTGTGTGTGCACCTAGCTCCGTTTCTTCCTTTGATATAAAATTTATATTTCAATTCATTGTTTTTAAAGAATAGTGTCATTTCTTCTTGTTCCTGCACATATGCATGTGCGTGTATGCATAGCTGCTTTCTATACATAGTTATGGTTTTGCTAGCCATTACCCTAACTCTCTATGGTCAATGATAAAAATAAAATTTTATTAGAAAGTATAATATTTAATGAACTTGTTTGAATATAAGTTTAGAAATGCGTTTGAAAGCTTCTCCATTGAAAATAACTTTTTATTCACATTAGAAAAGTTATCAAAAACACTTTTAGTTTGTATTCAAACAAGCTCAATGTTGCAAATGCATTCTTGTTATGATTTCCAGTAAAACTTCTCTGGTTAATGAGATTTTAACCATTGCCTGAGGAAAATGGTTAACCAAACCATATAAATCATTGCATTTAGGGAGCAAACCTATTGTGTGATGTATTATGCTTCCTGCGTTTAAGGGACTCATTTTACTTGATATTCTTAGGCTTTAGAGTTGATATATTGTTGCAGAATCCTTACATATGAAATAGAAATAGATGCAAGTGGTTGCCTTAACATTTATATCATGCTAAGTGCTTTGCTGTGACTAGTGAACCATCCGGTCTTGGGAATGTCTCCCCTTGATCTGATGATTATCTTGCAGCCTTACTTTGTGGCAGAGACAACAATGCCTGGGAAGAGTGGGTTTGATTTCAATGGTGCTTCTCGGTCGTTTAATGTCTTAGCTGAGTACCTTTTCGGTAAGGTAGTTATATATTTCTGGATTGAACCACATTCATGCATTTCAAATTTTTGCTGAGTTGCATTTGATTGCTACCTTTTTCTTTCACCCCATCTATTTTGAGAGCAAGAAGTTATAGATGTGTTCTGATGTTCTGATGTTAGAATACAATGACGGAGAAAATGGAGATGACTACACCTGTTTATACAAGTAAAAATCAACCTGATGCGATTAAAATGGATATGACAACTCCTGTGTTAACAACAAAGGTATTATGATTATTTTTTAATGGATTTTGTGAAATATGTGATTTACAATCTTTATCTTATTTATTTTTATATGCATTGCCAGCAAGTTTAGTATGATTGTAGTTTTTATTTAATATGAGCTCATTTCAGCAAAGATAACTGTAGAAACATGCTTTTACAAATCATGGCAACACTTAAACAGCCAAAGCTAAAATCCCTGTAGGCACAGCAATTTGCTAAAAAGACTAGTCAGTAAAGGCAATGAAATAATTGCACTAATTTATTTTCATAGTCCAAAATTTTTACCAACTAAAATTCATGATTTTAAAAAACACCTTTCTGGAATTCAGGTTCAATTGAAATTAAGTTCTGCTAATGATTCAGCAATGGCTAGACTACCCTGGCATATTTTGTCAGGCTGGTTTTTCATGACTTTATCAAAACACATAATTAACACGTGAACTTCTTTAGAATTCACAGGCTCTCTAACATACGGACTAATTAATATGTATAGTTTAAGTTCTATCTGAGATTGGATAAAACGATACCACTCTTCACACTATATCTATCCCAATTATATGACATTTTGACACTATTATTTTCCCTTAGGTCATGAGTTCGATTTTCAGTCTTTTTCTTTTTGTTTTCTGTTTTATGATATATCCAGTGTACTAGTGTCAGTTCACACTTAACTGTGGATTTTGTTGTGATATTATTTTCTTGAAGTTCTATATTTAATGGTTAATACATCATACATGTATTTGCTTAGGAGCTATTTTTCAATGTACTTTTATTTTATGATCAAAGTTATCAATGATATTATCTTATTAGGTGGAAGATCAAGATAAGTGGAAAATGTCTTTTGTCATGCCATCAAAGTATGGTGCTAACTTGCCACTGCCTAAAGATTCCTCTGTGAGAATTAAAGAGGTGCCCAGAAAAATAGTTGCTGTAGTTTCCTTTTCAGGTGCGCTCTCGCCTTGATACTTTTTATAAATAACTTGTATACAAATGTAATTTAATTTCATTTTCCCCTATTGTCTGTTATTTTGGGTTTTATATGCAGAAAGGAATACTACCATATATATTTAACTAGAGGAGGAAGCACAAATAATACACTGTTGATTTATTCCAATCACACGTATATTTCAATATTTGTATGTATTTACGTTTTATTATGTTCATTCGGATGTGTTCCATTTTTTTTTGTTTTCAGGGTGCATAGATGTGTTGCATTTTTATTTCAAATGAATATTGATATGCATGAGCATGAATCTTGGCTGGTTAACCATAAAGTTATAAAAGAGTAAATTAGACTGCTCTAAATATTTGTATTGCAGCATAAATGGATAAAAGTTTTGTTCAAATTTAATTTGAAGTCCTCAATCAAATAAATAATTTTCTTTACTTTGTGAAACAGGTTTTGTGAATGATGAAGAAGTTAAGCAGCGCGAACTGAAACTACAAGAAGCTTTAAAAAGTGACAGTCAGTTTAAAATTAAAGAGGGAACTTCAGTAGAAGTTGCACAGGTTTGAATCTTAATGCAATCTTGCCATCTTGGGGTTAAAGGGAGGTTTACCTGTTTATCCCTTCTTCAAATGTCAATTACTCCTTTATTTTCTTGCAGTATAATCCACCATTTACTCTTCCATTTCAACGCCGTAATGAGATTGCACTGGAGGTGGAATGGAAAACTAAGTAAGAATAATATTGGCCAATTTACAATCTTGAGGTACTTTTGAATTTCCATCATTGTTGTTGTATGCAGTAAAAGTTAATCGTTCAATATTATGAATTGGATTGCAATACAAGTTTTTTTTGTACTCAAGATTGATGCATACCCTTTAATATATATGTGTGTGTATATATATATATAATGAATCTGGCAATTTTAAAATAAAATTGATGGAGGATCTACCAATTAATGTGTGTTCAAATCTACTAATCTAGCATTGTAAATGTGTTACATAATACAGAAATTACATTTGAATTTTTTTCAGAGAAGTCACATATGAATAGAGGAAACTAGAAGACGTGTCAATAGTAAGATTTCCCCATCTTACTTCTTCAGTAATATATACATACACCTTTTGATTTTATTTTCTCTTGTTATACTTATTTGGTGGTGTTGAGATGTGGAAGTTGGTGGATGGTTTGACAGCTTAGTTGTTTCCCTTTTGTTTGTAGTGCTTCTGAACTTGTGTAAAATGGAGGATTATTCTTCATTGAATTTAGTCCTTGTTGTGCTTATCAGATATTAAAAGGGGCATGTTTTACAATTTGAAATATTGAATTTCTCCTTCTTGTTTATTTATTCCTTTAAATTTTCTTAAATCCTCTCAGAGGCATTAATGTTCCTTGCTATGTGATGAAAGCATAAAAAATATAGTTCAATTACACACGCAATGTAGAGAAAGATTATGTTATGTTTAAATTATCAAGAGCTGTTTCTTAATGCCCTTGTGTACCTTAGATAATTGTACATAGGATTCAATAGTTCATGATTTCATTGCTTCATAAAACATCATTTAGAATGCAGAAGTGAGACGGTGTTCGTAAAAATCAAAGACAATTCCTTAAACAAATCAAACTCCACCCCATACTTGTCCATAGATTTAGTAGGTGTATTCTGTGTAACTCAACATGCCAATTTTCTTATTTTATTCTGGTTCTGTTTTGTGGATGATAATTGTTTAAACTGAGTGGAAATATATTTGGTGCAATGACAAACTTTGTATCCACTTGTGTTATAAATGATGGGTGTGTTGACTTTTATGCTTCTATATTCTTGGTTTGGTTCTTTCTGCAGCAATAAAATATCTGGAAACTAATAGTTTAATAAGTTGTTAATAACTAAATAGGAATAGATACCCGCCAGGGCTTACGCATAGTGGTAAGCAATCTATGCTCCTAAGGAAGGATAAAGGTTTGAGCTCTGAATATGATACTTGTGAAGAGGGCTAAACCATATTGCTCCGTACCTGTAAAGGACTAGTCTTACACCCCAAGGATGCGGGGAATACCTGGGAAACCAATAAATAACCAATAAGAATAGAGTGTGAAAAACAGCATCATAAGGAATGGCAATTTACACAAAGCGACGTGTTAATTCGCTTGACAATTGTGTGCATAATTGAGGTTTGAGACTTTTAAATTTAAATGGTTCCAATAGAACCGTATTAGTTAAGTTGTGGATAATAATATTATACTGATTCCATCTTTGTCGCATTTATGAAGGTAGAATATAAGATAATGAAAACTTAAATAGAATGATTGCGAGAATATTCCTGGATTTCAGGATCTGTTCTTCACCTGTAGTGTCATAGTCCTATATCCGTTGGGGAGGATTGGATTGTTAATGTATCTAGTTAATAAATGTTATCACATACAGTAGCAATTATTGCTGGCTTTTGCTTCTAACAATAATACTTTTTCTAATTAAGAATAGATGATTTTTAATTTCTGGAGTAATGAAATTATCTGTCATATTATGTATATCTTTAATTATTTGTCTATCTTTATGTAACATATCCGATATATTTGTATATAATTAATTGGTATATTAGGCAGATTTTTAGTATAGATTTCTAGAGGGATTTTTTTTTTTTTTTTTGAAATATCACTGGTGTACATGTATTTGTGAAAAGATCCATGACAGAACAAGATTGTTAGCCTAGCAGGTTGCCATGGTTGTTAAGTAGATACTAAATTTTTTTTCTTTTAATTTATATATTTAAATTCAAATAAATGTACTTGATAAAAAGAAACAGTATAGGCTACTAGCCTGCATGTTCTATTGGTTTACTTGGACTTGAACATTTTCTCTTTTATCCTACCCTCCCACCCCCCCTAGTTGGAATGTTGGATTATGTCAAAATCGATTGCTCTTTAATCTTTTCTCCTTTTTATGATCTTTTATGACATGTCACTTTCAACTTCTTTTGTCTTTTTTATGACTTAAAAAGACACTGTTTTTATTCCTTCAATGTGCTTTACTACCTTTTGCTAATAGGGTAGCTTTAACAAGATGGTGATTCCAATGGGTTTTGAACAAACTGCACTGAATAAAGTCTACCCACATAGTAACTTAAGTTGCCAACTGAGCCACACGTATTGGTTATTCACAAAAGCAATTTAAAATGCAAAATTTATCCTGTCTTATAGAACGTGATTCTGTGTCCTCATTTCTGTTAGCTTGATGGCATCAAATCTAAACCATTCAAGCTGTTGGGGCAAAAAAGCAGCAGAAAAGTTTATCATTGTATTTGTCCAACTGTTATTGTGAAAGCATATAGCGAGCTTTAGTATTCTATATTGTTTCTCACGTAATTCAATTGAACATCCACTCCCACGCCTAATAAAGGTTATGATACATAAGTAGCAATTTTAATTATGTTGTATGGTGCTGATAGTTTTAAATAATCTTGCAGATATAAGTGGTTGAGATTAAATCTGAATTAACAATAAAAAATAACACGCCTATGGTAGAAATGTTGGACACTTTCAACGAATATAGACTATATCAGAAGTTGACCCGTCTCACCGGATCATGTATGGAGTACTGGCAATAATGGGAAATTGATCCAATGCAATGGCAATGAGAGCAGTATAGCAACACCATTATAATCATATTTTCTCCATAAACCAGTGTGAATGGCAAACACAATCATATTTTTCCATTATTTATTCCTTTTCATGGGAGAGGTTGTATTAGCATTTGAAAAATTCTAGGTTTCGTGGTAATAGATAATAATTTTTTTTAAAGAGTGATTTCTAACGAATTCATAATATATTATTTATGATATTAAATAAAAAAATAAATTTAATTAATATTTATCAAACATGCACTTTCTTTTCACGTTATCATACCACCCTTCCGCATCTTTCTTTCATTTCTTATTCTTACTCCGTTTTTACTCTTACTGTAAAAAATCAAAATTGAATCTCTTTTTTTAACGAGTATCAAAATTGAATCTTTGTCTGTTTTTATAGTTTTATTGAATTTTTAAATAAATATTTGTAGAATAATTTTTTTAATGAAGTTGGTATCTTTTATTATTTTTTTTTAATTTATACTAATGATACAATTACGTTTATAATAATTACAAATTTATATAATTAAGTGTTCATATCATTGTTAGGGAAGGTTTTACTTAAACACTTGAACATATCATGAGAGATTAATCATCGAGAGAAAGAATATTATAGGAAACTAAAAATCGAAAAACATGAAACAGTAAAATACTAAAAATGATCTACAGTTGATTGCAAACAGGACTTATTTAAAAAAATATATAAGAATGTCATTTAATATAATTAAATTATAGGAAAAAGTGTACTTCATGATCTTCAATTTTATTTTAATTTGTATTTTTTATTCTTTAATTTTTTTCCCGGATAACATTTTGAAGAATGTTAGTATTTTAGCAACACTTTCTTTATCACTACTATTACTATTACAGGCTAAAATTTAATAAAATTCACAAATTTTAATAGACTTTGTAACTCATTTAATGAATCTTTTCCTTAATTTATCAGTAAAATCTACTTAAGTTTATGATTTTAATAAATTTCAACTTCAGTAACAAAAAATAATTTTCAACTAATAGTTGATAGTGTTAAAAATAGAATATTAAAAAGAGTATCATTAAAATTCCTCTAACATTGTTTGAAAGAGTTAAAAGATAAAATTAAAATTAAAATAAAATGTTGAAATTTGAGAGTATTGTTCTTGTCTAAATTATAAATACTTATTTAGTTGACTAACATTACTCTTTGCATGATAAATACTTATTTCACAAGGCCGTAGACTTACAATTGCTAACAAAAGACCACAAACAATAATCAAACCACTTATTTGTCACCTATTATTGGATCTTACAAACTGAGTTAATTCTCGAGCTTTTGCGGTCAGTTTACTATATCACAGTCACATATAACGTCTGCATTGCTATTTTTACTGCATGCAACTGTAGGTAGCCCCATTCGCCACATGGATTATACTTAAAGAAAGAAAGAACAGAGGAGTATGATTAACTAATATGGACCCTTCTCTACCAAAAACAAAAAACTAATATGGACCGTTATCTATTTCTCCAACGATCATATCTTTCATTTATTGGTAATAACAACTTAACGTTATACGAGACTGTTTTTAAAATTTTTATCTCTCTGCCTCACAATTTTAATGTTCTGGATTACTTGCTTACGTTTTATGGTTAGATATAATGAGAACACAAAGTTAGCCTCGAGGAAAAGATGCTGAAAATGGAGTCAAAAGTTTTTCCTCTAATATATATGTCATGTTACACTGTATAAGCTAGAAAAAGGAAAAATATAAGGAGGGACAAAGAAACTCTATGTATTGTATCTTCAAATATATTGCTACTTTACTTCAGGTATGCTTTCCAACGCTGGTTTCCACCCTTGAGAGACATCCTCACTCTTTTGAGACAAATCTTCACCCTTGTCCTCGTGAACAAGAGACATCATCTTACTAACCGAAAACCCTCCACTCTGCAGCATATCCTGCAACTCTTGCTTGCTAATAACCACCTTAATCCTAACCACGTTACTTTTTTTCATGTCTTGAACTTCTGGATCCGCGAACCTCACCTTCTTGTTAGTTTTTGGCGATGGTGGTGGCAGAGGAACTAGGTAGTATAACTTTCCTTTGAGCAACTTTGTGTTTGGCTCAAGATACCGCAGGACTGTGAGTGATTCAGATACTGCATGGCCAGAAAATTGTATCAGAACCTCCTCTACTTTGATGGGTATTTTGTATTCAAGAATTTTCCCATCGGTTTTCATGATCTTCACAACGTTCTCCTGCAGCACCAAGCAATTCCCCATGGCTTTTCTTTAGTTTAGTGGTTGCTTTCGTAAGATGCTAGTTTAGTAGTGCAAAGCAATTTGGTTTTGTGAGTGAATGCAGGAAAAGGAGCTCTGAACCGTGCAATATTTAAACCAAAGGGTTGTGGAAAATACCCTCACGTTGTTCCACATATTACGAAAATACCTTTTGCTACTTTTGTCTTTTTACGATTTTTTCTTTTTGTATGCATGAAGGATGTCTCAACTAAATGATATTCTAAACAAAGTTTTCTGTATATGCACAACTAGAAAATAGAAAATTAAATCCTTGTCAGCATGTTTAATTTCAACTAACTGTCCTAGAATTTGTTGGTGATTTGGATGGAGTACTCACTATAATTAAAATAGGCGTTAAGATTATAAGATTATTCATGAAAATACTATACAAAATTCTTATATCAACAACGAAGCATAAATTGGCTTGGTTAACATTAATTACATTTCACAAATAAAAATTATTTTTAATTGTTAATTTTTGAATATTACATAATACGAATTCACGTTGTTATAATATATGAGTTGATTCCTTTATCCTTATAACTAGAGTAATTATTACAGGCTTGTAAGTTGGATTATGTCGTATGAGGTTGTAGAGGAAGTGGGTTGTGACCGGACAAAGCTGCACTTGAGCATGTTGGATGGGGTGGGGCCCTCTAAAGGCCAAGTGGTTGACCACTTGTGCACTATGGATTTTGTTGTGTTGACTAAATCCTGTGCCACACTGACTATTAATCAAAAACATGCTCATTAAAGTCGGCAACAGTGTTGAAACTTTAACGCATGTTGCAAAAGTTTCCCCTCTCTTTTATTCCACATGAATTAACAGCATGTTGTTTATTTGCTAATGAGATGCGCAAATACGGACAACAAAATGAGAAGAGGAACGTACTTTCTTATATCATAGCCAGCAAAAACATGTAATCATGAATCAACAAATCATCATAATAATTAGATCCAATTTTTTTTTAAGTAAGGTTTTGAATTTTTAGTCTCGTATATAAAAAATATATAGTCAGATTTTTAAGAGAGATTAATTATAAACAAAATTAATAACTATTTCATAATAATAACGTGGTTATAAAAAATAAAACACGTAATTATATACACAGGGATGAGTATCATTACATGTACACAATATATTGAGCTATCTTTCACACGTTGCCGTTGTTAAAGCTAGGAGCATTTCAAAATGCTAGATTGATATAAATTTTTTTAGTCTGTATTCAGTGTATTGTGTTTGGAAGAAATATTAACTTCAAGTACTTTTAAGTGAGTTAGGTGAACTCATTTAAAGAAATAAAGCGCTATTAGTAGTAATTACGAGTCACCATTAGAGTATAGAAAACTAAAGTTAATAAGAACTACCTAACGAGTAGTTAACATATACTTAATAGTTAATAATACTACCTCCTTGTGTAAACTTGAAGATATAAAATAAAACTTAGGCTTAAATATGTGTATTTAGTCCCTCAAATTTAAGATAAATTTATTTTTGGTCTCTCAAATTTAAAATTGTTGTTTTTAGTCCCTGTAATTTTCAAAAATCTTGTTTTAGTCCCTTAAGTCACTAATAACATATTTGAAAGTGATTAATTAAGACAGTTATGCAATATCAACCGGATTTAATGTGATATTTTCACTAATAGGAACACGAATAAGTAGATTTTATGCAATAATATTTAATAAATTTATTAACAAAATTTGAAGATAAGGATTAAAATAAGATTTTTTGAAATTACAGGGACTAAAAACAACAATTTTAAATTTGAAGGACTAAAAACAAATTCACTCTAAATTTAAGGGACTAAAAACATATTTAAGCCTAAAACTTATCACTATATTCATCAAATGGGCCATAACAATAATTGATTGATACCTAGCTTCAAATATTTAAATTCAAAAACTTGATTGATCTGTCTCAACATAAAATCGATCCTCATTTCAAAAATGAAATTCAAATAAAGAGTATACCCTCTTTATCTTGTGATAATGGCTCCTCTTGCGCGTGTGGTGTGTGTATTCATAAACTGCACGTTTTAAAAATAGCAAGTGTTTCATATAGAAATGTTGGTTTTTAGTTGTACACGCTTTTGTTTGGAAACATTTGGTGTAGGAATCTAAGACCACTTGGGATCCAAACAATAGCGTCGCTATCTCGACTTCATATACAATATCACTAACATAGTTTGGTCTTGTGTCATTTTAATTATAAGTGGTGGTCCAGTTGAGAAAAATTTGAACAAAATTGATCATTGCCAATATCTTTAACAAGATGTAGTTAGTTGGCTAGGCTGCAAAGGTTGAGATTTGATACTCTTATTCCAAGTTTGAGACCAAAGCAGCAATATCGGAGCAGACAAGACATCAGTTCAAAGAACCTCATTTGAAGCATCGGTGTTGGGTGGGAGCTCTAGAATCAAAACAATTTAAACATACTCATATATTCTTTTTCAATAAATAAATATAAAAGACTTTCCAGTTAACTGAGTTAGAAACTAATTTGATTAGATACGAGTTTAACTATTATATACTATTATGGTACAATATTTTTAAATTGTCAAACAATTATAATTCACTATTGATATGATTACTTAGTTATTTATCGTAAAAGTTAATAAATTTATTATGATGATTTACTTTTAAAATATTTTACATTATAAATGTATAACTTATTATATATATAATATTTTATTTTAAAAATGTTTTCAGATTGATTTGGAAGTGTTGTTTTAAAAACTTACATATATAATTATTATGATTTTTAACTAAAAACACTTGAGCAAAAACCTTAAATTGAAAAAGAAAGCAAAAGTATGAAAAAATAGTGCAGATTAGGGTTAGTGCAGGGTGATGTTGTCAACACGCATGCTTTGGAATGATGAAACTTCTTGGGGGCTAATACATTGTGTGCTAGTGGAGGTAGGAATAAGTAGCACTATTCAATTGAAAATTCTATGGAATAAACATTACAAAAACGGAGAAAAGGCAATGGCTTTCTTACAAGTTACTTTAACATCATTAGCAGGGCATTTATCCTCCATTAATTCATCTTTTGCTGATCATCATAGACAAGACCCTCCCTAATACAGATATATATTAAGGATAGAGAAATACTAGTTGTACAATTTCTATATTATTTTATATTTTATAGAAGAGGAGAGAGAGAAGTTCGTAAAAGAATAAATAATGTAATATAGATAAAGATAAGAAGAAAAAGAACAATATAAAATATTGTACGAATAATATAACTGTCAACAATGTAACATGAGCATGGGTTTTTCCGTAATAAATTTTTGTTGTGTTAAAAGAATGAAATGTATTTTTTCTTAAAATATTAAAATATTTTTTCTTTCGATTTTTAATAGTTTATGGTTTTGTAATATATATAAAAACAAAAAGGGATTAAATTAAGGTAAAAGACTCTATGCACCGAAGGTGTAACGATTATTTACATTATTGTCCAATTAAAAAAGTCATCTTGGACAATAAGTTTACTGATTTTTGTAAAAATTATTTGAAAGTCATACACTATTGGTACATAGCTAGTTATTCAGCTCTTAAATTGAAATTTTACAAGTTACAACAACTCTTACATTATCAATAATTTTATACAAAATATGGGTTTACAAAGAGTTTTATGGGGCAAATGATAAGTTATATGTGACTAAGCAGTTGTGAAAAGAATATAGTGTAATTTGGCATATGAGTGATATATATGACTCAACATTTCTCCATGTGAAAATAAAAGAATTAATAGAATGAGATTCCTTTTCAACAGTGTGCTTAATTGCCCAGCTACCACACTAGACTAATATTTTGCTGGAATTTCATCAAAAAGCTCCTTCGTGATCTAATATTGTACATTAAAGCGCGAAACTTTCATTATTAGACCATTGAAAGTTGAAACTCATACAAAAAATCTTTATGCTTTGCAAATGCAGTGTAAAGTGAAAGATTCTTGGAAAGCAAACCAAGATATTTATGTTTGTGATAGAAATCAAAATCAATTCTGGGAATGCAATTACTTGGCAAACCACCACTGGCCTTAGCTAAATGCCAGCATATTCATGCTGCTACCACTTCAAGTATTGAGACCAATACTATTGAAGATTTATGAATCTATCGTTTTTAAGAAAACAATTTTTAAAGGGACACACTAAATAATATCTAGCCAGATATTTCCTTAGGTTCATTCTCAAGCTTAAATTAATTTTTACGATGTTGGTTTTAGTTCTGATAAAAATTAGGACACGAGATGTGGTAATGAGTTACGTAGGCCTGATGCATGCACTTTTCTTTTTAGTGACCCACTTTATTTATCTTTAGAATTGGAATGATTGTTGATTTATTGTAGCCGGCTAGAAAATGATCGTTAAAATAATGGTACCACAACTTTTCTTTAAAAAAAATGAAAAATCTGATTATAGTATATTTGTGCGCCATGATGATGGTGGCAAGCAGTAAGAAAGTGAGCATGCAACATATATATATATATA